TTATTATAAAGTTTATATTTCTTTTTGGTTGTTTATACTTTCAAATTGAAAATGATAGAAAGTAGATTTCGTAGCTTAGCTTTTTAGTGACATGTAATCTTGAAAGGGTGACTATTTACTCTCCATCATTATGAGTGCTTCTTTCATGTTCATCTTAAATTCCTATAATTGTTAATAAACTATAAGTGACTAAAAAAGTAAAAACAATATCCGTTGTCAAATTCAAAACCAGACCTTCAAATTATCATAGAACTTAAATAATACGATAGGTGAAATCGGCATTTTCGTTAAGACAAGTTGTATAAAAAAGAATGCTAAATTTATATAAAATTTCAATTTTGACACTGTGTTTTTTTCTCAATCAAGTCATGAAGTTTAAAAATATTTAACCAATAGACCGGTTTATTTCAAACATTTTATGTTTTTCACTTGTTGGCTTTGCAAAAAGTTGATTTGACTTTTACATGTGATCCTAATTGCAAATACTTTGCAAAAAGTTGATTTGACTTTTTCATATGATCCTAATTGCAAACACTTTGTTAAACAATTTACGTCGATATGTACTCACTTTCCATAATTTATTATTCTTTTCTTTTCTTAGATAATCACAATATTGTGTAATGACTTCCCAAGATCGCTCAAATGGTTCACCATCCCAGAATAGTGTAAGCAGGAGAATGAAAGGTGTCCACAATAACATCTCTTAAAAGAAACATTCATTGCATTGCTTATATCACTCTGGGATGATGAACTATTTGACTTGTTTGAAGTCATTGAACAAAATCATGATGTTTTGAGAGACGGAAATAAAAAGAAATAAAGGAAAGTGGGTACAAATCTATTTAAGGGTTCAATTTAAGTATTTAACTCAAATGTTTGACAACTATGATATTATGTGAAGGCCAAGTCAGCTTTTTTGCCTAGTTAGCAGATAAGAAACATAAAACATGAAACAAACATATCAATTGGTTAAATTTGTAACAAAATTACAAACTTTGTTAAATTTGTAACAAAATTATAGACTAATTTAATTGAGAAAAAAACATAATATCAAAATCGAAATTTACATAGAATTAATATATTTTTACGCAATTTGTCCTTCTCTCGTTATTTCCTTCAAATTATAGTTTATTTTGTGGTTAGAAAGGTGTACAAGAACAATTAAGATGAATATTTTTTAAAAAAAATTCTTTTTACATAATCTTTATCTTTTTCATAATAAGACGTCACTCTTTTTTATTAAAATTTTATTTTATGAGATAAGAGTTGATGTAAAATTTATCCACTACTCCTCTAGTGGCCACCAACCCGAAACTAAAGCCTACCTTTCTTTTTCCTTGACGTTTTTTTCAATGTCCAATAAAAATTTTCAGTGCAGAATATTTCCTTTCAAGAATTAATGGAAATTATTGTATCAAAAATTCAATCTGATTTAGAGAAACCAAAATTGTATTAATCTATATTATTAATCTGATTTAGAGAAACCAAAATTGTATTAATCTATATTATGTTCAACTATATATAATATAAGGATTTGTAAATCCCAAATGAAAGCTAAGTTATACACTTAGATCACGATTAGTAGGAGTGGTTATATCTTTTTGATAGTTATTAATATCAAACAAAAGCATCAAATTTGTCAACTCAATCATGATTCATCCCACAAGAGTCCAAAATCTTTCTCAAGGTATCCAATGCTATGAGGATCATATTAAATTTAACACCAGTTAAATTAGGGTTTAGTATAAACGACACTTACCTATTGACTTGTAGTTGTTTAAGTGCTATAAGTGATTTAATCATACTTAATATGATAACAACAATAATAGCCGAGGGTGTTTGGGATTGTATATTAAAAATTGGTTATGTATTTTTTTCATAGGTTTTTAATAGTTTATGTGTTACCAAAATACTCTTTAAGAAAATATGTTTCGATAAACTTATGTGATACATACGTAATAAATTGATAAGTTGATATTTAAAGAAGTTATCTTATGTGATACGAACATTCAAAATGCTTATTAGCTCTACTAAACGGCATTAAACAAAAATTGTTTTGTGCAATCCAAACACTTAAAGTAGTTTATTAAAGTGTCAAACTACCATAATTCAATAAACATTTAAAGTTTAGACAGACAATTACAACGTTCCATTAAACTAACAGGCAAATTCAAGTAACAATCAACAATGTGGCTTTATATCGAGACAACCGGGTTAGCTGTCTTGACTCTTTTTCTTGTGAGAATATAAACAATTAATATATTATAATTACAAAAATAAAATTATTACATTAATTATATTATCTTTTAAATAAAACATTAGAAAATTTCAACGTTTACAAATATTCTTTGAACTTTTGACCCGTCCTTTTCTTTTAGCTAAATCTTTTTTTTTTACTAGCTTGGATCATTAGAAAGAAAAATAACCAAAACGGACCAATTTAAAGTAAAAAATTCAAAATTATCACCTCTTTCTTAGTGTTGCTTTATGAAAATATAAGAACCATCGCTGGCTTTTGCTATGAATTGAAGAAGGAATGAAATAGATTATTACGGCATTGTTTAGTTGCTATATAGGCATGTAATGGAGCATTCATCAACTAATGTAATTCTTTCTCGTGGACATAGTTCTTGTTGCTGAGTATAAATCAAAGCTAAATGTTAGATTATATATCAAGAAGACATTATTAGAAGAAAACGAGCTATATATTAATATATATTAACAATGGTGAAGACAATATCTTTGATGCAATTTTACTGTTTAGCAAAATGGTGAAGGGATAGAAGTATGCATTGACTAACATGTTTTACACCCAAATGATAGTTTCAAGTACATGAGTTTATGATTCATAAGCAATGGGGGTGTACATGATGACGTTACACATCACATAAAGGCGTGATATTTAAAATGGAGGGCAAGGGTAAGAGTTTTGTGCGACAAGAAGGAGCCACTGAAACTAAATGGAAAATTTTATAGAGTGACAATAAGGTCATCTTTGTTGTATGGATCTGAATGTTGGCCGATTAAAAAGGAATATAAGAGGAAGATGAAGGTCGTAGAAATGAGCATGTTGCGATGGTCTTGTGGAAAGACATTGTTGGACATGATACCGAACACTATTAAGAATGTGTTAGGTGTCGCATCAATCATCGAGAAATCAAGGGAAGAGAGATTATGGTGGTTTGACATGTCCATAGGAAACAATCTACTGCTACTGTAAGAAAAGTAGAGGCGATCTCAGTTGAGGGTAAAATGAGGACATGAATTTCGAAAAGGAAGTAAGAAAATAGTGTCAAGTTAGACTTGAAGGAGTTAACGATTTCCGAGGACATGACCTTAAATAGGAGAGTGTGGATGAAATAATAATGTAGAATAGTATTGGTGTACTCTAGGATTTGGTGTTCCTTTTTTTTGCACTTGATGGTCGGTTCCACATATTTATATGTCTTCCCGTTTTTCTTATTTTTATCGACATGTGTAGTAAGTATAGGTTTTTGGCTCTTTGGCTTAATTTTTGTATTTGCCTCCATTACTCTTGTTTATTAATGGTTTACTTTGCTGACCCTACCCCTACCCCTCTCCATATGCATATTTATTGCGTCTACCAACTCTTTTTTTTGGTCGTATATCCCCGTATAATTTATTATGAGCTAACGTTTTGTATGCAATGGTCTTTTACAGGGCAGCGTGGGAGCATTTACAAAGTTGTTAATTTAACTTTTATTATTATATATATTAGTTGTTACATGGGTTAATTTAAAAAAATAAATAAATAAATATAAATGTCAAAATATTTGAGAACTTTGAATTTATAAAAAAATAAGAAAAATAATGAATTATTATAATGGAAATATTTTTTATCTTTTAAATTTAAACAAATAATTTAAATAAAGAAAAGAAACTAATGAACTATAATTTTAAGAATTTTTGTAATTAAAATGTAAGTTTATTAATGAAATTGATATCTATTTATTATTATATTTATTGCAATTGTTACATTAAAATATTACGTGAAAATTAATAAAATAAAAAAAATATGTGTGTAAAAAAATTAATTCAAAATAACCATCAAATGATATTTGACAAATTGAATGAGAGTTTAACAAGTGGCAAAAAAAATATTCATTTATTAAAAAATATTTGTATGTGTTTTATATTTGTTTATATTTTCTATGGGAGGTCTAGCCACTTAAAGATTGGGTTTGCGGACAATTTTACCTCATTTTAGATGAGACTAGGGTATTATTGTTATTGGCGTCGTCTTTTCTTTATTTATCAAATTTACTTATTTAGTTTTTCATTACTAACAATCAACATATTTGAATGATTAGCCCATTCATTCAAGCCAACCTAACATACCAATAGAATATAATAATTAATTTAATTATCTTCTTCGTTCCATTACATTATGTATTTTCAGACCCAAACTTCAACTATATAATTTGTAATTATGTATGATCAAATATTTAATGCTACAAAGTAAAATCAACATAAACATAAAAGCATTTAACTCAACCAATTATGAGTAGACCATTAGAGCTTTACTGAATAGTCATATTTTAGAAGTTTTATCTCAAACTTCAAAAAGCTGAATCAAATAAACCGAAACTTTCAGTTCGGTTTTAATCAAAATCAAAACGAATCATGTTCATCCCTTAGTTGAATCAACCAGCACACACTTCTCCAAAACTCACTGTTTGATGAGTGTCTAAAAGAAGGAAAGGTCAAAAGATGTCGATAAGTAAAGTCAATGTCAAATGAGTCTAGCTTTGTTAGTTGACAGCCCAAAAATGGGAGGGAAATTCTATCAGCTTCTAAATACAAATAGAAGAAAGTCGAGTAGAATTAGATTCAAACTGTCAATTTGTCATAAACTTGTTAATGGAGAAAACTCCACACTGCCATTGTCATCACCACATAACCAACTGACAGCATTATGTTAAAAGTGGATACATATAACATGACATGGACTACAGTCTACAAATGAGAAGCAACAAAAATAATGCAAGTCTCCTTTTACATACTCCACTACAAATGTAACAACTTGTTGCTGTATAAATAGCATTCTCTATGCATTCAACAAAGCAAAAACCACAACCAAAAAGTCACCTATTTTACATCAAAAAACTAAACAATTATTCTAAAAAAGCCAATTAACGGTAATGTTCCCAAGCCAAACAAAGAGGGGAAACTGTGCTAACGCGATAAAAAGCAGCAGATAATGATGCCTGCTGGAATCAAAACTTCTAACCTCTGAGAAAAGGACACGTTTCATTGTTTTCACCAAAAAGATTCCCATACAGAGACAAGTCCATGGCATCAAGAAGTAGTAGGAGTAGGACATGATGATTCTGCCAAAAACCGCCAGGCATAATCCAGCGAACGCATACCCAGCGTAAGCTACGATGTCCAGCAGAGGTGCCTCTGCACCACCCAATGAAAATAACGACATTTTTAGAAGTGAAACCTGTAAAAACCAACCCACTATTCCCTTCATGAACAGCCAGTTCAATGCTTCTGGGGTAAACCTGTAAATTAATAATAGATGTTAATTTTGTTTGATCCATTGGCAATAAAATACAACCCATTTTGCATAAACGGGTCATAATTTTGTTCTCTTACGCCTCAATGTAACTTAAAATAACATGCTACAGTATCATGTGATTAAGCTTATACTTACTTTCCTTGAAGTCCCAATGAGAAGCCAGCAAGAACAACATATGTACCAAAAGCCATTAATGGGATATACAGATCTGGAGCATTGATATCATAAATGGGAGGCTTATATGATAGCCTACCCCCTACTGGCTCAGTAATTCTTGTCCAATGACCCTGAAAATGACAAACAAAACCACCAAAATGTATAAGTTACACATACACAGAAGAAGATGAAAATGAGAGCAGACAGGGTCATAATATAAGCTGCTAAGCTACCACTTACCCTGTGAAGAAAGGGGAATAGAACAACCTTCAATTTGTTCCTCACATAATGGTCGTTGACTTGGAAATAATATTGTGGATCAGAGAAGTATCTACTAATCTGTGAAAATATGTACAATTTGAGAGTAAGAACATGCAATGGAAAATGGAAATATAATCAAATCATGGAAATTGCTGTTTTTAATGTTACTTACATTACTTTGCACGTATTCGGAGCTTGAACCTAAGATTTTTTCTCCATAGGCACCAAGTCCACCTCTGATTAGTCCTGAACTGGCACCATAAAATGGATTCCCAAATGGAGTTTGTGGTGTACTAACTGGTGGTCTTGGCACCCCAGATGGGTTTCCAAGATTATCATACATGTTCAATGATCTGAAAAGAAGAGAAAATGATGTGACACTGATACATGCATTGCATACAGCAGATTCTGAGAAGGAAAAAGAACACAAGTCTAACATAAACATTTCTTATAAGATACAGTTGAGTGAATACGGGCATATGCTATGTAGACCCACAATTATGCACATTTAGTTCTAATTTCAATAAAAAAAAATACAGGATTACTTACCATGGATGGATGGGAGCATGGAGGAAAAACAGACAGGATTACAAGAAATTCTAGATGGAACACAAGTTCACCTTTTAGCTACAGATGCACAAAAGTTATATTCTTAAGCAGGATGAAAAACATTGACCGAACAAACTACTCTTGTAAAGCAATTTGTTACTGATAATTTTGGTTTGCATAATCTTCCACTTAACTTTTACCTAGGAAGTGTCTGGTATGAATGTCATAAATTCTAGCTCATGTTCTACATTCAAGATAGATGACAGGCCTGGACATTTGTGATCAAGTTAGGTGGCTTTAGAATTCAAGACTGCTATGTATATGTCAGTCTACTTGGATCGAGCATGTGGTAAACCCATGGAACCGTTTTTGATAATACAGATACTTCTACCAATAACTATATTCGCAATTATCAACGACAACTACAAAATCATGCCAATGTTGAACTCAAAACTCGCACAAATTCGAAACACGTTTGACGCCAAGAATCCAAATAGTATAAAATACATATAGATCACCATTCTTATAGATTAAAGATATTCGGCTGATTTAACATTCGATTTGAACAGATTGATACAGTTTCATAAAATATAAAACTGAAAGGCCGCGCAAAGTACAACGATTTCGTGATCTACAAGCTAATACTACAAATCCTTGAAAATTCGTCGCAACTTATCATGAAATCGAAGAGTAAGATATGTAATAACTGATAAAAGGAGAGGTTATAACTTATAAGTGACAATTAAAAAAATACATCTATGTGGATGGAAAAAAAACGAACCAGATGAACTATCCGGCGATGAGAGATTGAATCACGTAAGATTCCGATGTCCGATGTAGGCCGCGTTAGTGGTGGTGGTCGACGGAGAGAGTAGCAGATCTGATAAAATTGGGGCTTCAGATCCTTGTGGCGGAGGGCTTGTAATTTCCTTTTGTAAAGCGGGGGCTATATTGTAATATTGGAATATGAACTGGAAATTGGAATTGCCTCGAAGCATACTAGAAGTTCAATTTACACCCTTTATTTTCAAAAAAGGTTCAAATGCACCCTTCGTGGAGACTATAAGAACTCTAATATCAATTTTACAAAATAAATGGCAATTTTGAGAAAAATTGTCTAAAACTTATCATTTTAATCAAACCTCTCATTTTTTTTTAATGTTTTTAAGATTAATCCTAAAATTTAATACATAAATTAGAGGTAATCAAGATTACAATATAAACATATTCCCAAAAAAAAGGACACATAGAAAAATTGGATGTTCATTCACATGTCTCTTTTGTTTCCGTTCTTCCGTCGTTCCAATATCTTTGTTCTTTTCATCATGATTTTACTTCAATCATATAATTCTTTTATGGGTTTTACAGTAACCATTATTAAATCATAATCGAGCCATAATGTCGCAATGATACAAACTTCAACAATTTGATTTGGATATCCTAAGAAAAATACACACTTGTTGTTTGTTTGTTTGTTGCTTCTAGAATGGGTTTTGTTGACATCTTTTTTAGTTGATTATGCCTTGAATATTGTCAAGAAACAATAATGGCACGTATGTTGGTATCTAATATCTAAGATTAGCCAATATAATTGCTATAAAGATGTTTGATTAACTCATCAGTTGCTTCTTGTTTATAATGCCTGAAATAGTCCTGTAAACTGGGTTGAAACTTTTGATCTTATGAAGGTGTTGATTTTTTTTTTCAGAACTCTATCATGAGAACTTGATAAATGATACATGAGATATTCATTCAGGTTAACCTTTTGATGAATATGTTACTGACACTCATTGCCACTAATCCAAAACATATCCAACTTATATTATTAGTATATTTTGATTTGGTTGTGTTTAGCCTCTAAACTAACATGTCTTGACTTTGGGTGATGATATCGTATGAAAAATATATCTTAGACGTATCCTTGAAAATGATTATGCCATCGATAATCTTGGATGACTAGACTATCTCATTATTTATATTCAAATAATAAATTTGATATTAACAGAATAGAAGACAATTACTTATATACCCTTATTTTATCTATTACTTCCTTAAATGATCAGAATTTGCCAAACACTAGTTTCCATAAATACTACATCATGTGACACTTTTTATTACACTTGGTTATCTTAATTGATTTTTTGCTCCTTAAAGTTCTTATTGTATGATATCATCACATACAACACCAGTAAGTCTCCATGTTAATTCATTAAGTAAAGGAAAAAAACAAAAGAAAGTTCATCAAATTACCAAAAGGAAGGGGTGTTTGTGAAAGATCTATTATGCCCAAGAGTCATTATAAAATAATATTGCTAATAATATATGATCATATAATGTTACACCATATAGCAAATTATCGTCAATTGATTATTTATTAGTATAATTTGATTATTAATAAATATATCAACATATGTATTTAATTGGAAAATTATTATTTCATGAAAATAATATTTTACTAATTGAGAATTTATTATTTGTGGAAATAATATTTATTGGAGAAATAAAAACTTATGAAATATATCATAAAGTATGGTTATTTATAAGTTATATTTATATCTTAATAAACTAGTTCAATTTATATAAAACATAGTTTTATATAAAATAACATATTTATATATGGCTAGTTATATAAAAGTGTGTTTTATCTATATATCTATATATATATATTATATATATATATTATATATATATCTATATATATATATATCAACTAGCCAAGGGACAAGCTTCTTTTATGTTTTGTTGTCTTGCATATTTTCGAAAATATGAAGAGACCAAGCATGTCTGATGTTGTTTTTGCTTTATGATTTCCCTTTGCTTTTTGGTCATTATATAAAAGAGAGCATGGAAGGGTTTTGATACACTTCTTGCAAGTCTCATTCTCCTTCTTCTTTGAAGCCAAAACCGTGAGCATGAGAGGCTCAAAGGGGCTGCCAAATTTCGAGCTTTGCAAGCTCCTTTTCTCCTCCATTCTCTTGCATTTGATGTTTAAAGAATGTCCCTTTTGGTGCTTCACATTTGAACATACATTTGGTATATATTTCAAAGGCTTATGAACAACAAATTGCAAGTGAATACTAACATGTTTTGATGGTTCTACTCTTGCTTGGTGGATACTTGTAGAGAACTCTTGTTTTAGAGTTTCATGTCACACTTCATCAACTTCCAACCTCCCATGAGGATCAAAGTCTTCAAAGGTTGTTATGCTTTTCCTTCTATGGTTGTTTTAATATTTCTAACTTTTGCAAGATGATTCTTGGTGGGTAAAATAGTTTTAGTTTTATTCAACATTTTTAAAGCTTCCGTTGTCAATTTTACCAGTTGTGAAACCAGATTTTTGAATAAAAACCCAACAGTTTGAACATTTTGACCATGAAAATTTGAGTTTTGTAGAATGACCAAGGGATCCGTAGAGGGGCTCTGCGGAAGCCTTTTACCTTTTGAGGAATGTGAATAGTAACGGGGAATTGAGGTGGGAGGGGAAAAAGACACACAAAAAAACGGCTTGTTGCATACTTTTGCAGAGGGGGCTTTACGGAAAGGTTGTTGAGGCTCTGCGGATCTGTTCTTCATCAACACACCTCTAAAGAACTGTTCTTTGCCTAACCATGACAAAAATCGGGATTGCCTCACCATCCTCGTGTTCTGCCCTTCGTCGACATATCTTCTTCGTCTTCTTCCCTTCGTTCCGCAGCAAAGCCTCAACATCCCTTCCAAAAATTCGTCACTTCTACAGCCAACAAAGTGAGAACCAGCTTTTTTTGTATGATTTTACAATTTTACCCCTTCCACCTCATTTCCGCATAACTATTCACTTTCCTCAGAATGATTAAGCCTTCCGCAGAGCACCCTTTGCGGAAGTGATGGTCATTTACCAAAATAGATTTTTTATGGTCAAAATCTTCAAACCCTCCATTCCCTTTTGGTTATTTGCCGAATTTTCTAAAAATGCAATACAATATATCTTAGAGAAATGTGGAATTTTAATGAAATTGTATGGGACAAAAGCAACAATTTTTTGTGCCACTCTTAAGTTGAACAAAATGAGATAGACTTACTCTCCTATCTCTAAAAAAGACATAATGTCCTCCTCATCTTTACTCTCCATCTCTCATAACAATAGGTAATTTTAGTGAAATGTGATATTTTGCTACAAACCCCAAAAAGAATCCGAGAAAAACATGATTTAATCTCTTGTCTAATTAAAACTCGAGAGGAAGAATAGCACTTCGGGATCCTCGTACATGTCCAAACGAGAAGAAAGGTCTCTTTGTTCTTGTAGCCTCTTCATGATTACGTATGATATCTTGAACAGATAAATAAATATCACGATCAACTGCAGAATCCATCGAGAAAGATCTTCGAAGGGGTTGAATTGCAAGTTGCTCATCATTCGTCTCCATGATTCTTTCAAAATGAGGCTTTCTCGATTCATTAGCCCCCTCGCCCAATTCAATTGTAACGAAATCTTCGTTGCTATTTGTTGGGCTCGATTCCGGATCTTGAGGCGAAGAAGTGGGCCCAATCGTATCCGTTAGACACCGGATCGTACCCGAAATGTTGAATCGACAAATCGGGCAATTGGGATTGTTCCTAAGCCAAATGTCGATACAATGCAAATGGAATCCATGGTTGCAGCTTGGAAGAACTCTCAATGTCTCCAAATCTTGAAACTCATTCAAGCAAACCACACATTTATGCAATCTTTTGTTCTCCTTGTCTCTTTTGCTATACTGACAAACGGGTATTTGTCGGATTAGTGATTCGTCGAGCCCGGTGATCTGCCATGCCGGAGTTGAGTAAACTGATGGTGGTTCTTCTGACGTGGTGGTCCGGGATGTCATGAATTGGATTAAAGGGTAACAGCATTTGGTGATCAAGAAGTAGCAAAGGAGCAAGAAAGTGATTGCAGTGATGCAGGCTATTGCGATGGCTAGCAGAGGGAATCCGGTGGCGGTTGTTGCCGGAAAAGATGGTGGTTGGAAGGTTGAGTTCTGGTGGTTCTTGATTGAACGGTGGTCAGAGCTGTAGACTAACTTGTGTATAGACTTAAACTCCATTTGTAGATAAATCTCTAGAGGTTTTACTGAATTCGTTTCTTTTCTTTATACAAACAACACATACTTGCTTGTTTGATGTAGAAACATTGAATATGTGTTTTTATGTTCCAGGCTCCTTTGGGGCCTGGGGTTAGTTTAATGAAACTAAGAAACCAATTTATTTAAAGAACATAACATAATAATTGATTAATGGTTAGATTGCCCCTACAATGGGGACTCATATCATTACCAGCGTGGGTAACCGCTTGAGCACCTCTCTCTCTCTCTCTCTCTCTCTCTCTCTCTCTCTCTCTCTCTCTCTCTCTCTCTCTCTCTCTCTCTCTCTCTCTCTCTCTCTCTCTCTCTCTATATATATATATATATATATATATATATATATATGTGGATGAGCTTTAAAACCGGAACCAGTTTTCCTATATTATAAGAACCGGGAACCGGACCGCCGGTTCCAGTTCCTGTCCCGGTTTTTCGGTTATTTTTCAAACTAGAAATTGAAATATTATAGATGATATGTTATCTTCCGAAGCTTGTAAATGATTCAACATTTAACCAAATTATGATTTTTTTTTACATTGTAAATTGAAGTACAAACACTAAATTACATGATGAAAAAAGAATCAAGTAATTCCGACTTCATATGAGTGAGTTATGCGCATTTTAAAAACGGGACAAATTTTAAAAAAAAATGTTGAAACAGAAAATTCGCAGCATTGATATGCTGTCTTCCGAAGTCTATAATTGATTTAATATCTAACCAAAATATGTGTTTTTATAGTCTAAAATGAATTACAAATTCTAAATTACATGCTGGAAAAAAATTAAGTAATTCTAACGTCATATGAATGAGTTATGCACATTTAAAAAAAATGGGACAAATTTAAAAAAAAAAACAAAAAAATGTTGAAATAGAGAAAACATAACATCAATATTCTTTTTTTCGGGCATGTGTCTGATTCAATATTTAACTAAAACATATGTTTGTACAGTCAAAAATGAATTACAAACTCCAAATTACATGTTGGAAAAAAAAATCAAATAATTTCGACTTCATATAAGTGAGTTATGCACATTTTAAAAAACGGAAAATTTGTCAAAAAAAAAGATTTGCGGTCTCTAAGTATTTTTTTATGCATTTTTATGATTTTTAAGGTTTTTTGTTTTCCATAGAACCTAAACCTATATATAGTTCTTGTAAAAACCTAAGTTGCACGGAAACGGATACGGCAACAGGAAACGGATACGGAACGGAAACGGGAAACGGCAAAACTCAAAAATTCAAGATACGGATACGGCACAGATACGGCAATATAAAAATATGAAAAAACATATATATATTAAAAAAATTCCAAAATATGTAAAGTTTATACATATCGATTTCTGATTTCTGAATTCACTGAATTCTTTCTTGTTCTTGAACGTCGACATCCAAGCGCGCAAGCAGCCAAGCAGTAAACTGTAAACGATAATATATGAAATTGATTAAAAATTGAAGGACTTAGGGAGGCGGCGATCGGTAAAAGACTAATAGTTGTAGGGTAATATCGTATAGCCCATTACACCATTATCCTATTTGGACTAAAGAAGCCCATGCAAAAAAAAGAAAAAAGAAATGTAACACCCAAAATTTCATTTGTTCTATGAAGGGCCAAAAGTGTAAATTTAGGAAAGGGACTCGACGAGTAGGTCCGTTTACTCGTCGAGTCGGAGCGGGATTCTATCGAGAATTAAGTGGTCAACTCGCCGAGTCGGCGGCTTGGACTCGACGAGTTGGTGCTGAAGAGAGAAAACCCTAATCCCGGGGGTTGTGCCCTATATAAAGCACATTATAACCCACCCTCAGCCTCTTTGCTACCCTTTTGAGATCCAGAAACCCTAGAATCGAGTGAGCTTCCATTAATAGAGAGAATAGAGCCTTGGAGGAGAAAATCTTGGAAAGGGGCTTGAAGTTCAAGAGATTTGTTGCAAAGGAGTGGTGTAGATCCGGGATCTACTTCAGTTGGAGCATATATTGGAGGTATTAATCTGTTGCTTGGGCTATTTTTGTATCTAGATTTATTATCATTTGAGATTTGGGGCATTTTTGGTATGATTGTGAGTTATTTCGAGTTAGAGGCTTAGATCTGAGGTTGCTACTTCAGATCTAGGCTTGTGATGGTCCTTAATGTCATAAAGCTCCTGTCTAAGAGTTATTGGTGAAGCCCCTTTGTCATAAACCCTAGCCCTAGAGTGTTTTGGGCTTATATCTCCTTGGTTTCACGTAAAGTTTGCAACTTTATGTGAGGGTTAGGCTGTAGAAGAGTGGATCTATGGATTGGAGCCCCTGCATGGCTCGAAAAGCCTCTGTATGGATTGAGAACTGAAGAGACTCGGCGAGTCACATGGGTGTACTCGACGAGTTGTATGATCATGTGCATGGACTCGGCGAGTCGAAGAACAACTCGGCGAGTCTGTTGAAGATTGCCTTGGACTTGGCGAGTCTGTTCTTGGACTCGGCGAGTCAGGTCGCAGAACCCCTAACCTCTTCTGGTTAAGACGCAGATCAGTGAGTCGAGGGGTGACTCAGTGAGTTGGATAGGATGGGACTCGGAGATCGTTGGACTTGACGAGTCTTGGGGTGACTCGGCGAGTTGAGTCGTGTTCTAAGAATTTTCAGAGTATAAGGACTCGACGAGTCAACGGGTTGACTCGGCGAGTAGGGTCAGTCAGGAAGTTTGACTTTAGCCTGGACTTTGACTTTGACCTTCAAGGGTGTTAAGGTAATTGATTATTTATGTCAATGGTCCATTGATGGCAATAGGTGTTGGAGTTTGGAGCAGTGCTTCGGGTGTGTGCTTCCGTGGTTCGGTTCTTCATTTCAGGTGAGTTATCCTCACTGTACTCAAGGGTCTAAGGCACCAAGGCCGGCCCTTTGAATTGTTGTTTAGATCTTGTTATGTTATGTGATGATATGCTTGCTAGTATCATGGTAGATATGATCATGATATGAGGATATGCCTTGTTAGCTTAGTATCCTAGAGGAATGGATAGTTAAGTGATGGCTAGTTCTGTTGTATCAGCGCCCGGGTAGTTGGGTAGTGGTTATTTATAGACCTATAGTTGGTCTTGCCTTATGTATGCTGGAAGGAGGTTACCTGTGGATTATGTATGTTGAGCAGTAGCAGAGGGTATTCCATCCCGGTAGGATGATAGGGCCCTAGTATTTTGGTTCTGTAGAGTGTTATGTGGTTGCCTGTTATGTGTGCATGTTTGCTAGTGTAGGGGCATTCCAACCCGATGGTTGTAGGCCAGGAGTATTCCATCCAGGTGGGATGATTGGACTCGTAGTAGGTTGGCATTCCAACCCGATGGTTGAGGGGCCTGGGGTATTCCATCCTGAGGGATGATTGGACCCATAGTAGTAGTTATTGTATGCATAGGAAGTGGGGCATACCAACCCGATGGTTGTGGGCCAGGAGTATTCCATCCCGGTAGGATGATTGGACTCATAGTATGTTGGCATTCCAACCCGATGGTTGAGGGGCCTGGGGTATTCCATCTTGCGAGATGATTGGACCCATAGTAGTTATTGTTGTATGTATAGGTGTATGGGCATTCCAACCCGATGGTTGTGGGCCGAGAGTATTATATCCCGGTAGGATGATTGGGCTCGTAGTATGTAGGCATTCCAACCCGATGGTTGAGGGCCAGGGGGGGTATTCCAACCGGAAGGTTGATTGGACCCATAGTATGTTGTTCTTTGCTGTATGCGTATGTTTATGTGTGTATGGGTGCTTTGGGGGAAACTCACTAAGCTTTCGGGCTTACAGTTGTGGTTTATTGTTTCAGGTGCTTCAGGAGATCGTGGCAAGGCAAAGGCGTGATCGTACCGCTCCTCATGTTTTATGATTTATGTGACATGGTTCTGGGGGATACTCTGATGTTTAAACTATTTTGAAAACAAGATGTATGAACTTAATGGTTTTTGAATGAAATAAAATATTTTAATTTGGCTCAAATTTTATGGGTGTTACAAGAAAAAAATAGGAAACTTTGTGGAAACTTACCCGATACGTTTCTTGAAACCCTTGATACGTTCAAGAAACGTTTCCTGCCGTTTCCCTGCCGTTTCCGTTTCCTCCAAGTATCAGATACAGGTACGGCTACTTGAATACAAAACACCAATTATTGTGAGAACATGAGGACATTTTACAACCATTAGATTAAATAAATAGATGGTTAGGATAATTAAGTGTTTTCTATTTAAAAATAAAGGAAAAAAATTGGAAAATATCACAAATTAGCTGATAACGGGTTTGTGAGGGCATTTGGGTAAAAAACTAGGTTAAGTAAATTAGGAAAAGGGTTTTCAGTTCGTATTTTTCACCGGTGAATCCGTCTTTCATATCCGTACGGATCTTCCAATTTTTGCTGAAGATATTATCTGATTTCAACGTTGAATGCGATTCTAGTAAAGTTGATTCGGTAGTTGAGTATAAAAATCGTTGATTGTTCAACATAGCACATAATGAGGATTCTTCGATCAAACTCAAAAATGAAGGTTAACAAGTTCAGCAACACCTTTGAAGAAGCCATTAACCTTGATGACGACGATTTCGTGAACATTCATTCAGGTATTGCTCATTGATGTTCAAATACAAATGTATATTAGTTTCTGTTGTGAATACGACGACTGTTGGCTTTGTTTTTTAAATATAAATATAATATGCGTAAAATAGTTAAAAATCTAGATACAAAATGTTTGTAGTTAGTTTCTTTGTTGAAGACGACGTATTCCAATTTTTTGTTGTTGATTTTTTTTAGGGTTTTGTTGAATACGACGACTATTATACTTGTGTGTTTGATGTTTTTTTTGTCTTTTTAATAATGATATTATAATCGTAATACAGTTAAGAATGTTGTTGTCGTTGTACCATGGAATCTAATTAGAATAATGGCTAGTTTTTCAAGGGTTTTATATAGTATATAATAGGTAGTCTAATTTATTAACAATTTTTCTTTGTCATGTTTTGCAGGAGGTTCTAGTGTGGTGATGCTCAGTAGGGAATCATTAGCAAAAAAGAAGGTGAAATGTCATTTTGAAAAAGGTACTTCTTCTATAAGTGATATTGTGTTAGATTTGTATGTGTTTGACTGCGTGATGTTGTTTGTTTTTTTATGTGTGGAATATTATATGATTAGCTTGGTGTTTTCAATATTGAACACATTCTATAATACTTTAATAGAAAGTATATATTAGTACTAAAATGTTCTGATCTGAATATACAATATGTGTGAAAATATGCAATGCTTCCACATGTATTCAATATTGAAAACATTTTGATATTGAAAACATTAGGTAAGAATTGAATACATCATACATTTCTTGGTTTAAATATTTTGCACTTAATTCTTATTATCAGTGTAATGGTTTGTGGTATTGTGTATTATTTCAAAATAAAAGTATTCTAAAAAAAATTAAGCATTGTGTATTAAATTATTCATATCAGAATACATTATAATTTCACTAGTATGTTTTCTGGTTTATTGTATTATTTCAAAATATAATTTAATAGTTTAATATAGTATTCAATACAGAATACATTACTTATGTAATGCTACAATACAGAATACACAGTATGTGTGATAGTGTGCAATGCTTCCACATGGATTCAATATTGAAAACATTTTGATATTGAATTCCTTATGTAATAATTCAATACATCACATATTTCTTGGATTAAATATTCTGCACTGAAAACATATAAAAAACAAATATGCATGATTCTTATTGGTGTAGTATTATCCCAATCATGCAGTCAATCCTGACATGACTGACATTATTTGATTATTACATTATGTGTGTTAGTATGTAATATTTCGTAATATTATGTTAAGGTTTGATTTAGTATTCAATAAATAACACATTATGTAATCATTCAATACATCATATATTTCTTGGATTAAATATTCTGCAAATGAAAACATATAAAAAACAAATATGCATGATTCTTGTTGGTGTAGTATTATCCCAAGAATGCATTGAATCTTGACATGACTAACAGTATTTGGTTATTACATTATGTATGTTAGTATGTAATATATTTCATAATATTATGTTAGGGTTTGAATTAGTAGTCAATAAAGAACACATTATGCATGTTATGCTTCTACATGTATTCAATATTGAAAACATAATATGTATCAGGACTTAAATATTCTTTAATGAATTTTGATATGAGTAACATTATTTATTCTCTCTAGAATGGTTTGTGGTATTGTGTATTAATTCAAACTAATAGTATTCTATAAAAAACATTTAAGCATTGTGTATGAAATTATTCAAATCGGAATACAATATTATATAACTAGTATGTGTTTGTGGTATTGTGTAGTATTTAAAAAAAAATCATTTTTAAGTTTGATGTAGTAGTCAATACATAATACATTATGTTGTTTATGCTTCATTACAATATACAGTAGTGTACACACATATAATATTTTGGAATATTCAAAGCAGAAAACATTTTTAAAAAATTATGCATGATTCTTATTGGTGTAGTGTTATCCTGATCATGCGTATGTTATTTTGTGTTTGTTGTAGGTGAATCAAGTGTTAGTGTCTGTAAGAAAAACAAAAGGAAAGATGAACATTATGAAGATAGTGAAGCTGATCTTGATGTTAATGTAAGAAGAAGTGGTAGGAAAAAAACTAAAGTCATAAAAAATGAAGTTTTAAAGGAAGTTGATAATAAGAAAAGAATGAAGAAAAGAAAATCGAAAATAAAGAATGTAGTAGAAAATGAAGATGTAGCTGTTGAGGACAACACAACTAAAGAGTTGCCAAAAATAAGTTGTCGTATGTCCCCAAAATCAATGTATATGGTGGTAAAGGGAATGTCATACAGTCAGAAAGAAATGGTGAGACGAATGGGTTTCGGTGCGTTCCTTGATATAAAGTTAGATTCAATACCTTCTAGATTGGCTTACTACTTGGTGGACAAATTCAGAGCAAAAACATCGACGATTAAGACTAAGAAAGGGGAAATACTTATTACAAAGAAAACGGTTGAAGAGATGTTTGGTTTGCCAAGTGAAGGTTTAGACTACAACCAGTTGGTGGAATGCGATAAAACATATACGGTTATTGAAGCATGGAAAAGTCAATATCCAGGAGGAAAGTTCAATAATGGAAACTATGTGAAGAGGAATAGACAATCGGATGTGGCGGATGACATGTTCAAGCTTAATTTCCTGACATTGTTCATAAACAGGAGACAAAGATGAGTGGGGCAAGCCGTATTAATTGTCTGGAGAAATTAGCAAGGTGTGAAGATATTCAAAAGATTGATTGGTGCAAGTATATAGTTGAATGTTTGGAGAAGGCAAAATACAAATGGAGGCCAAATGACGCAAACTGTTATTACACAGGTCCAATCACTCTCTTACTGGTAAGTAGTTGTAATTATGTGCATTTAGTTTTATATTATTTTTTAATTCTTTAAATTAAAATAAGTAAATATAATTTATTTATTATGTTGTTACAGCTTACGTATGCGGACAAAGTAGTTTTGAATGGCTATAATCTCCGCAGATCAAGGCCATTGATAAAACAGATTGACTCAGTGGATTTGGAAATGTTGGAGGAGCATGGATTGAGAATGGGAAAATTTGTAACATTGGAGTTTCGTGGAGACGGGGAAGTGGATCTTATTGATGTAAATGGTGATGAGGATAAGCTGGTAAGTTATTTTATTATTTATTTCATGTATTTTTTGTAATAAATAACATTATACATAAGAAAAATGTATAACTGGTTTTAATAACAATGACAGGTAGGGGTGGAATCAACTGAAATGCTATATTGTAGGATCTGTGATGATAAGAAAAAAAAATTGAGGAAGCAATTAAGAAGGGGTTAGAACATGATGCAAATGATGATGTGGTAAAAGAGTGGTCACGAAAGGTGCGCCAACTTTTTAATGAAAATACTGTGGAACATGGAGATAATAGCTCGCCCACAAATGAAGCGACAATGAAAACGCCCGTTAAAGTTGCAGTCAATTCTGTGCAAAGTAATTTTGTGAAAGGAAGTAGTTTTGTGAAAGGAAGTAGTCTGATATGCAATGTTCAGTCTACCGGAAGGAATAACGAGAAGACAAAGGTTGTGGATGGGTGCGACTCACCTTCCGTACTTTTTCTGGAATATAATTAAAGGAAATACATCATTGGATAGTCCAGTTGTTCTGACTCCTGGTTTTTTGAATATGTCTGATGAAATTGTGGAAAGGAGCATGAGAAAGAAAAAGGATTTTTGCAAAGATGGCATACCATCATTCGATTTGAGAATAACACAATTGAATGAGGAAGATAAGAATATGGATGATAAGGAAGGAAGTAAGGCAGTAATTAGATATACAAAAAAAATCTGTAGCGGAAGACAAACTGAAGAAAAGAACTGGAAAAGATCTTATGGAAAGTGAATTGGTGCATGTTGTTGATTTCAAAAATGGGAAAGGTAAAAGGAAGGGGAAACTTGGACAATTGTAAAAGACTCCTGGTTTTTTGAATATGTCTGATGAAATTGTGGAAATGAGCATGAGAAAGAAAAAGGGTTTTTGCAAAGATGACATACCATCATTCGATTTGAGAATAACACAATTGAATGAGGAAGATAAGAATATGGATGATAAGGAAGGAAGTAAGACAGTAATTAGATATACAAAAAAATCTGTAGCGGAAGACAAACTGAAGAAAAGAACTAGAAAAGATCTTATGGAAAGTGAATTGGTGCATGTTGTTGATTTCAAAAATGGGAAAGGTAAAAGGAAGGGGAAACTTGGACAATTGGTGTGTTCACCTTATGTAGATCGGATTACGGACGTGGATGAGGCGGTTAAAGATGATGAAAACGTTGTGGCTCAAAGCATAATAGCATGGGGGAAAGATAAAGGGTAAGAATGTATATTTTATCTGACTAAATGAAAATGGATTTTTTTTTGTGTCGTGACATTATTATTGTATTATGTTTAAATGGCAGGGAAATTATATGGGAAACTATTGAAGGTCATGGAATGCATTTGGAAGCTGCACGTACGTTAGCTATGAGAACAAAAGTGCATACCAATGTAATAGACGCGTGGGCTGCTTTCCTTAATAAAACTGAGGAACTGAAGTCAGAGGCTTCTTACTCTAGGATGTACTTCACATGCGATACGATTGTAAGTTTTTAATAATAATATATGTGTTGTATGTCATATTCCGCTATGAATTGTAATATGGTCGGTATTTTGTTATGATAAAACAGACAAATTACATGGTTAATGAAGCTGTAGATGAGGAGCTGAGGTACAATAAATTCAGAATTATGTTTGTAGCTGTGATTAATGACATAGCGGACAAACCAGATTTGAAAACGGTGGACTTGGTATGGAATTGTTACATTTTACAGTATTTAAACATGGTTGGTATCACACATTTATGTTGAACCGATGCTGATATTGTTTAAATGTAGGTTTTCATACCAATTGTTGTTGATGACAGTTACTGCCTAGTGTGATTTTGCTTGAAAAGGGTTACATTTTATATATTTGATCACATCAAGAGGTCGGGGACAATTGAGTCTGCATATGGGAATAAACCACGTATCCTGGTTAGATCTGTTGTTTACTTAATCAATTCATATATATATTGTCATTATTGTTGTTATATATTTATTATAATATGAATTATTATTTAATTTGACATGCAGCAAAGTTTCTTTTGTCGTTATCTGAATAGTGTTGAACACAAAAAAGCAAATGTGTTACTTAAAAAAGAAGTTGTGGTTTTAAAAATGAAGTGTCAAAGGAAAATAGTTGGTGTTGACTTTGGAATTTTCCTTATGCGACACATGGAAACATACATGGGAGAAGCGGCACATAAATGGGATTGCGGTCAGGGACGGAGCCAGGATTTAAGAATAAGGGGGGCCGACGTCGCAAAAATATATTTAAATATATGTTATATCAAAATAACATAACTGAGTCTCCAATTTTGAAAGAGAATTTGACGATAAAAAATTTGTTTAAACAAAAGTTATATCAATCATTTCAAGAATGCATTTTCAAAAGTTTTCAACCAATAATAAACGTTGATTTATAGTCATTCATTAACATGCTAATATTAAAAAAGTATATTAATTATTGATCCATATCTTTCATTAATTGAATTATACTCAGTGATATAATCTATCATTATAATTATAAAAAACAAAATATCATTTATAATAATATAATTAATGGCAAAGTAAAAAATTATTGAATATACAAGAATAATTAAAAACATACCTTGTTCTTAAATGGAGAAGATATTGTAGCACAGTAGGTAAGTAGCAGAAAATAAGGTTGCCGTCTTTTTCAGTTTGGGAATTAGAGTGTGAGTAATTTAAGTAATAAATAAGTTAATTAAATCAGATGAGGGCTGTGGGCTACAACTATACATGAGGTGGACTTAAATATCAATTATTTAATGTTTTGATGGCTTATCTAATTAGTATACTACAACTAAAAAATGCCCGTGGTGGTTGGGCATCCGGCAGCCCCGGTACTAACTCCGCCACTGATTACGGTCTATGTGTTGATAATAAAATTCAAGAAAAGATGTTGGGACGGTTAAGGTATAAGTATCTGGATAAGTTGATGATGTCGGATTTTAATGTTATGAAGCAAACATTCGTGAAGCATTATGCAACTGTCAAAAAAATGGTTAGGTTTAAAAGGATGAAGTTGATTGAAGAAAAGAAGAAGGAAATCACAAGTGTGCTGCAGTAGATTGATTTGTGAAGAAGATGGTGTTTTTTTTATTAGGTTTTTTAGTATTATAAAAGGTGATGATCGTCTATGAACTTTTAAGTGTTTTGTTATGTTGGTTTTTTGGATTATGGTAATTATGTTAGAATTATTATGTGTTGGACGTATTCTAAGTGAAACTATATGATGAATTTATTTAATGTGTGAAAAAATGGTTATTATTAGTACTGTGTACCTTAATTTTTCTTATATTCCATATGTAATATATATGGCATATGACACTTAGCAAAGGTCACACATTTATAAGAAATATGAGTCATATAATTTCTAAATTTATGGGTTTGTGGTGGATACCGTGAATAGTATAAAGCATCATGTAAATGTTTCTTAAATAACTATTAGATTAATATTTTTGTTGAATATATGGATGTTAAAATGAAATACATGTTGTGAGTAATTTAATTTTTTTTGAAACATCAAATTCCTATTAGATTAACATAGTTTATAAAACTTAATATGAATTAGGAATTGTGAATAGAGTGGCTATAAAAGTTAGCGTTAGAATAATATAACACATCTTCACGTGTAAAGTTCTTAATTGAATATGTAACATAATTCTAAGTTCAATTATGTATTAATCGGTGTTATCAATAATTACATAATTCATAATACATATTTTTTTAAGTGCATCTGATGATTATTTTCTGTATGAAAATAGAGTATTAATGTTTACTGAATTTATAAATACGTATAATGGAGATGACAATTATATATTGATTGTAGTGAATATGAATTTAGTAATTAAACATATTTCTGGTTATAATCATGTAATAAATTTTGTTGTTATAAATTCTGAAATGAATAGTTATAAAAAAAGTTTAGAAGAATGTAATGTTTTGTGTATGTAAACAAGTAATGAAAAAGACACATCTTTTATAAGTTCGTATACTAATTCTTAAATTTATGTAGTAAATGTAGTTTTAAAGATGACTTTATTAATAAAATATTGACATTTATAATCTAATGATTGTTGTATACGGATAATAATGATGTATGGATTGAGATGGTTAAAAAAACAAGGAATATGTGCTTAAGCTTTAAAAAGAAATCAATGACAATTAATAAACACAATTTAAAAGTAAATTATAAATAGGCTACACAATTTATAAAAACATAATACTGAAAAGTGACAATTGACTGAGAATGTAACAATTGTTTTACCATAAAGTAAACAAACCAAACAAATTAATATGAAATAAAAAAGACCGATAAATAAATTATTTCTTCTTTCCAGGATGTTGTTTAAAAATGTTGTTCTTCTCATCTTCCTTTCTTAAAGGACAATTCCGCCAGTCATGATCGTTACCCTTATGACAGTAGTTACAACGTGATTTTTCAACTGTAATTTCTTGAGCACCTTTAATCATTTTTTTAGTCCCAGACCCTTTGTTCCTAATTCCAGTGGGGTTTTGAATTTGAACATTTGCGGGTATCGACACACCAAGTCTATTTCCAAAGTCCGTTGACTTGTTTAGGCGTTCATGCATAGTAACGCCAGCCATAAACTTGCTCTCCAATTCCTTAAGTGCTTCATAATACTCTTCAAGTCTTTTTTTGTTGGTGCTCAAAGAAGAGAGACAATTATCAACCGTTGAAAATATGTCCATTGCTACTTTTTTAATTTTCTCATCAGAATCTGAATACCGGAAACATCTTCGTAACAATTCAGGTGGAATAATATCCTTCTGCCACCGCCTTAGAAGATACTTTGCTGGTATGAATTGGATGTTGAAGGCTTTCATTGCAGTAAAAATGTGGCGACAAAGAATCCCAAATTGTTCAAACTTCATACAACTACAAATGAATGTGTCTTCTTTCTGTTCACATTTAACCTGCATAGAAAAATAAGCACATATATATACAAAATTTGGCGTGCAAAAAAATAAAATGATATCAGAGTTTAAAATAATACCGTATATATAGAGTCTTTTAGCAGCGTATCCCATTTATCATCATCATCATCATCATCACTGTCAATATCGGACTCAGGTCGATTCGAGGTGGAAGATCCATGTGGCCTAAATTCTTTTATCTGAAACTCATGAACATGGTCAACGATGTTGTGATTTAACGAGAAACATGTTGTCATTGACCTGTACATTTCGTTCTGAACCTGTCTAAACACTTTACGTGTGTAGAATAGAGAAGCGTTTTCCTCTATTAGAAATGGTGTTCTCATTTAGGGAATTTGTCTTTTGTTTTGAAGTCCAAAGAGGATTGAGTATAACGTTGCTTCTCCATGGCAGATTCAAACGAATTCATAAAGTTTACTAAAGTTGATCCATAATGCGTGTTTTGATGAAAGGCTAAGTTCTGACTCTCAGAACGAGATGTTGTTCTCATGAGACCTGACATAGGGACTCTTTTGAAAGATGTAGGAATCCATGAATGTCTCAAGTTGTACATTCTCCTTAACCAAGTATTATCGTTAAGATCATATTCATCCAATAGTGCTTGTCATCCATGTTCGAAATCTTTCTCTTCAAGCTTAGAATTCCAAATCAAGGAGTTGAACTGTAACTTAAATTCCTCGTCGTTGACAATATCCAATGATACCTTACAATGAGAACATGTGCAAAGTGTTAAAAATGAAAATCATTAAATCAGTCCAGAATATATAAAGGCAAACGACACTAATGTAATAGACCAGTACTCAATGTAGAACTATATGTGGACTGGATACAAAAGTACTATCATTGATTCTTTTCAGAATATAAAATTAAAATAACAGTGATTCATAATGAATGCAATGTTGACTAATAGCGGTTTAAATAAAACCTTGTAACCTTCAATGGTAATTTGGAAGTGATGTGCCACATACACAACCTATGAATTGATTCTGGGAAAACAGTGGCTATAGTGTTTTTCATCGCCGGGTCTTCATCAGATAACACCAATTTGGTTGTTTACCAAAGGCTTTAAGAAAAGATTTCAACAACCATGTGTATGAGTCGATATCCTCTTTGCTAAGCAAACCAGCACCAAAAGTAACACACTTTTTGTGATTGTCAATTCCGGTGAAAGGAACAAATACCATGTCATACCTAAAAAGTGGCAAAATTTACTTTGAAAATTTTAAAGGACTTAAAATTAAAACAAAAAACATAAACATAAAATATACATAACCTGTTGGTTCGGAATGTGGCATCAAAGGAGACAACATCATCAAATTCTTTATAATTTATCTTTGAGGTCTCGTCAGCCTAAAATATAGCGTTGAGTTTGCTTATTTTCAACTTTGAAATCGAATGAAAAATTAGGAACATTTTTTGTTTTGTTAGTCATCTTATCGACTAACATCTGAGCATCAGTTCCACCTATAAAGCAATTAAGATCCCTCATCAAAATTTTAAAATCATCAACCGTGCCTCCAATAATATTGTATCCACCATTAATAGCAGTAAAGAGCCTGTGAGCTTGGGTGGCACCAACGTTCTGATTAGAAAGACTGATAATGAACGATTTCTGCCATGAATTAAGTTGTATATGGTATCGGGAAAACAATATGTTATCTTGAGACATAAGCTCATGATTATGTTCCTCTACAAACTCATATAACAACCATGTAGAGCTTCCTTTTATCATACTAAATCTGATACATGCATTGCATCCAATCCTTCGACAATCAATCCTTCTTTGAATCTTACTTTTGTTTGGGTTCAATGTATCAACATGACCTGTATTAGGAATATCTTGTCTGTTACACACGAGGTATCTCAATTTAGTAATACCATGCACATTTTTCTATTCGTCGTTTTTCTAACATCAAAACCTGCTGCATGAGCGTACTTGTAATACATATCTGTTATATCTTCATAGGACTTGTAATGGCCTTTGAGTTTTGGCTTAACTTCATCAGGTACCTTTGGAATCCAATATTGTTTTCCATTAATAATCACATGCTGATGATTAGAACGTTGATGATTATCATTAGATTGACTATCATCAGATACACCCAATGTCTCGTCTTCAATTGAAATATCACGTAAATCGTTTGCATCTTCATCAAAAGAAATGATGATGAATTAACATAAAATATACAACCGAAAATTAGTAAAAGGAAGTTAACATTTACGAAAAAGTGTAATAAATTAAACCTGGATTCTTATCATTATATACAACCGGAATAAGAGAAAATGAAGTTAACATTTACAAAAAATTGTAAGAAATTAAACCTGGATTTTTATCAATTCCATGATGTTGGTTGTCGAACAGACTATCATGATAAGTATGATCTATTCCATCCTGCATTGAATCGAAATCAACATGGCCGCCGTCTTCTGTATGAGCATCCATATGGATCAATAGACTAATCAAATCTTTTCCAAAACGATGAATCATACAACTGGTAATACAAAATGATTAATACGTGGGTTACAATTGTGGATTATGGAAAGATCAATTAACATATTTTCAGGAAATTTGTTTTAATTACTTGTTTGACTTTTGTGTAAAATGATATGCTTACCCTTAAAAATAAATTTATTTATTTTTTTAAATGATAAAATTTGATTGGCTGTTGTCGTCACGTATTCACACTAAATCATGTTTTTAAATGAACCTACTTCTATATATATATACTAGGTGTGAGACTCATGTATTACATGAGTTTATTTAAAAAAAATTAACTATGAAAATTTAACAATTTGAAAAGTTTGAATTTATAAGAAAAATGAGAAATTTTTTGAATTATTAAAATTAATGAGGCTTTAATGTATTGAATACATTATATATAAAAACCCTTTCTAATAAATACCTTACATATTAAATGTGGAATTTTAATTTAATAAAATGAAAAATACAATAAAATGACAAGTGGAAAATAGAAAATTTAAAAATTCTTGAAAATGTCATGTGTCTAAATGAAGGAGAAGATGACATGTGGCAAAAAACTTTTATTTATATATATATATATATATATATATATATATATATATATATATATATATATATATATATATATATATAAAGTGTTGACTGTTGACCCACAACTTCTATCTCTAATATTAAGATCTAGACACCTACAGTGTACAAGTCAGCCATGGAAAAGCTACTTTCAAGCTGGTCTTCAGCTGCCATATACTTGCCGGAAAACTATGTGTTTCCCGTCCATTCAAGACCTGGAGATGCGACGGTGCCCTTTTGCAACACTCTCCCCATCATCGATCTCAATACTGCATTTGCTGGTGGTCGCCAGGATGCAGTGCAACAAGTTCTTGAAGCTTGTCAAGACTTTGGAGTTTTCCAGGTTTACGATCCGAGCTGAAAATCTTTTATCTTCTGATCAAGATTCGATTACTTGAATAAGGCCTGTTGTAATGATTTTATGAATACTTTTCCTAGAGCCCGCACAAAAGGATGAGGCCTAATTACAGATTTTCTTGGATCGAAGAGTTTTTGAACCGATAATGACATCAACGAAATGGACCAATAGTCCCTAAATGTGCCAAACCTTTTACCAGAGATTTTTTTAGATCAGTTATGGATCATACTTGACCGGGATTTAAAATCGGAACAGATCTTTTTCTTTTCACACTTTTTATGTCTTTTTCCTCATGCGTTTTTCTTTTTGTAGTGTTAGCTTTTTGAAATTGAAATGTGAAATATGAAAATAGGTGATAAACCATGGAGTTGATGAAGATCTAGTGATTGACACGATGAGGGTTGTGAAGGAGTTTTTTGACATGCCAAACGAGGACAAGGCTAACGTTTACTCAGAAGATCCAAACAAAAAATGTAGGCTCTACACGAGCACTTACGACTATGAGAATGAAAAGGTTCATTTATGGCGTGATAATCTTCGACACCATTGCCATCCTATAGACGAGTTTATTCATTTATGGCCTCAAAAACCAGCTAGATATCGGTAAACTCGTCTTTTCTTTTGCTCATAATATCGTTTTAAAGAAAAAAAAGAGCTAAAGGTGTTTTCAATGTCTATTCTGAAATTGAGTATTACTATTAAAAACTCAACGGTGATAGAATGTGTTAATGAAGACGTACTAATTTCATATTATTTTTGATTTAAAAGTTAAAATTATAATAAATCTTGAATAAAATAATCCCACCATCTTCCATAGCAAAAAACCATTTCCCCATATTTTCTTTTTTGGAAGCTGCATGGTTGCATCACAGCACACACACACCAATGATCATGTATTTCTTATTTATATAAAGAAAGTAGTTTTACAAAGCAAATGGAAGAAGTAATGAAGATAATTACAAGCTAACAATAGTGAATTAGTGATAACATAATTTTATTTATTTATGGGGGAGTAATATATAATGTATTGTTTATGAAAGAGTAATGAAGTGTTTTTGATGAGTATAAAAATTGATATATTTGTATTTTCTATGTAGTGACAATTTGTTTTTAACAAGTATAGGAGTATAAATTTGTCCATTTGGCCCTAACCCAAGGAATGATAGAATCATTTGAACATAGATTTTAAGGATTTGATGGAATTCCAATTCATCAATTTGTCAACCAAACAAGTCACCAAAGAAGTATTGCATTCCAATTCCTTTATAGAAATCCAAACAATCATGAGATTGCTTTTAATTAACAAACCATAATTTTTCTTTTTGAAGAGATGTTGTCAAGAAATACTCACTTCAAGTGGGTGACTTGTCATCAAGAATATTGGAGCTAATATGTGAAGGACTTGGGCTTGGGCCTACGTATTTTGGAGACGGGCTTACCGGGACCCAATTGTTTTCAGCTAATCACTACCCACCATGCCCCAACCCCGACTTGGCATTGGGCTTACCCAAACATTGTGACGCTAATCTCATCACTTTTCTTTTACAAGATGATATATATGGGCTTCAACTCTATAGAAATGGAGAATGGCTTGGCATTGAACCCATCCCTAATGCCTTTGTTGTTATTCTTGGTCACCAAGCCCAGGTAGATTTTTTTTTCAGATTTACCATATAAAATATAATCGATTGTAGTTACAATTATGTGTTGAAACACATGTATACACAAAAACAAAGGTTTGAGTGATTGCCAATTGCAATGTATGGTATTTTGTTGTTTTAGTATTGAGAAAGGCTTGTCATATTTATTTCTTATGAAACTTTTGTTAAATGTATTGTAGGTTTATTAGCAACGGGAAGCTGACAAGTCCAGAGCATAGAGCAGTGACAAACTCAACAGATCACCAGACATCAATTGTCTACTCCATCAATCCAAAACCGGATAGCATCATAGAACCTGCTAAACTTCTCATCAATGATTCTAATCCACCGCTCTATCGATCCTTTCAGTTTAAAGAATTTCTTAAAACCTATGAAGTGAAGAAAGATTACAATGAAGGTGCTTTAGAGGATTTTAAAATCAAAGCATGAAATGACACGGTTAAAGACTTGCTTTATCTACATATTTTGTTTTGCGATGTTGTTATAAATTTGACTCATAATCCTTTGACCCATTGCATATTTGCATGTGATATTCCATTTCAACTGCATGAAATTTTGACACGGGTTTACATGCATTTTTTTTGAACGGCAAGATGATATTAAAAAGGAAAATAATATTAGTAGGAAACTGGCCCAAAAAATGTTTTACAGTTGTAAAAAGACCAACAGAATAAAAAGAAAAAAAACACCACCATAGACTCTCCAAAATAGACATTTGACTATTGACGGCAAAAACAATAAGATCAAGTAATTTAAAGCCAATAACAGCACTACTTCAAGAATGTCTCCATATCACAACATCAAAAAAGTTCCGAAAACCAAAAAACAAAAAGTGAACCCAATCCCAAATAATCATTTTTAGTTTGGATTTCTTAAAACCGAAAAATTCGGTTTGGGTTCCATTTCTATTTACAAACTTGACCTAAAAAACTGAACTGTCCCGATATGTAAAACTGAAGCAAAAAACCGACCCATGGCAACGAAACCGAACCAACATATGTATATTATAAAATTTAAAATGAATATGTTTTATTTTTATGCAACTTAGGTCAGGGATTACGAACCCAAAACCCAACAACCCATGGGTTGAAACCGAAAAACCAAAAACCGAACCCAATAGGTTTCAAAAGCTGCAAACCGAATCTTTCGGTTTGGGTTTGGTTTTACCTAAGACCGACCCATGCTCAACCCTAAATTACAAAACATAAATTTGAAAAATAAAATAAAATGATACATTACAAAATTACACATGTAGGGGTGGTTGATTCGCATGGAATCTATTATAGTTTTTAACAACCATCGTCATTGACGGCATCAGTTAACTAGCATCCAACCAACATGTCAATAAAAAATATGTGTTAATCCACAACTTGAACCTTGAAAATGAAGCATTGAAACTCTAGATGCATGCAAGTTGACCGTAGATAAACTCCTCTTAAACTGGTCATCCGCCGTTAAATCCTTGCCTCAAAATTATGTTTTCACCATCGTTTCAAGACCCAAAGATGCCATGGTTTTTTTTTACAACAATCTTCCTGTGATCGAACTCAAACCGTTGGTGACAGGTAAAACCACATGGTTCAATATTTAAATGAAACCTATATAAAATTAAAAAAATCAAACAATGATTGTTGCGGGTCTAGACCGGGTCGAGTCGTAGTAGGCAAAAAATATTTAAAGCTCTACAATTGCACATGATTATTGTTTTTTTAATTTAAGTTGTATTTGGCTGCTCATATTTGACTGGGCTATTAAAATATAGAGTATAAATTATAAAAATCAGATTTATACATGTATTTTTTTCGCAGTGATGAATCCAGTATTCAAACTTACAGGTGTTCAACTTAAATAAGATGTAAAAGTAAACAGTTAAAAAATTATAGTTTTAATCATGTTGTCAATAATACTATATAAGAGAGAAATAATATTAAATTATAACTTTAACTTCAGAAATAGAAAAAGAAACATCATAAAAAACAATAAACAAATGAAGATTTAGTAATTAATAAACATATAAATTATTTGGTACTATTCTAAAATCTTGATTTAAGCTATATATCATATATAATTATAACCTGAAAATTACAAATCAATTAAAAAAATTTGGGAAAAGATTGAAAACAAAAGACAACAGCCAGCTAAATGAGTAAAATCGATTACATTATACTTAAAAGATAAAGGGATTAATGCATAAAAGTTTCATTATTTTGGGAAATTTTTTAATAAAGTCTTAAAGTTTTTTTTTGAACAGAAAAGTCTCAATTATTTAACATTTTCCCCCAATTCACGAAAAAGTCTTTTTTTTATATATTTGAACAACAATTGACGGATTATGTGATTTTCTCAAAATAATAAGACTTTTCTGTTCAATTTTTTTTTTAGGATTTTTTGAAACTTTTCCCAAAAATTTGGGACTTTTCTGTAAATTTCCCAAAGATAAAATACTTTGTTTCTTGTTATATTCCAAATGATGCTCAATACATCTATTATACTTTATACTTCTAGACTAGGCTACTAGACATTGACTTAATATTTTATACTTATTTGAATGTCTCTACACATAAATTACTTCACCAGACCAGAATACAAAAGTAAAAAGTGAAACATGATACACTTGGAGATAAAGGAGGCTAGCCACCAGACAAAGTGGAGAAGCATATGTCTGATTGATCTCCGGCCGACAACAACTGACAGAGAATAGACGGATGTGGGTGAAGTTGGATGGGACCGTTGAAGAAACCGAAACAACAAAGAATCGATGGAAATAGGTGGAGATGGGCCGATCTAAGTGAGACCGTCGACGACAAAACATAGCACCGACATATAGAAGTTGATGACGGCAGACATCTTCCGGTGACCTAAATTTTTTATAAATTTTGTTTTTGGGGTTTTTTTATTTTTCAATCTTCTTTTATTCTTCTCAATCTATGATATTATTTTGTTTTATATTTTGTAATAGTGAAAGATTAACATTATTAATAGGATATTTGTAGAAAAGATTTTTTTGTTATCCATCGTATCCTCCTAAAATGTCGATAACCATATATAAATTTTGTTAAAGAACGTCTTTTTCTTTTTTGGTTCACCATGAGTGTCCTTATTGCTTTTCTATAAGTGTCCATACGAAAATTCTCATATAATCACCAAAAAAAAAAATCCAAAATCAATCGCTTATTATTATTTTTTTGTTTAAAATACAAGCTAGCTTACTAAAATTATTTAAGGTAGGTCATCAATTTTAATTATACATACCTTATTATATATATTAAAAATAGGTGGGTCATGTGACCCACCAAAGCTTAGCATACCTTCGCTATTGAAACTGCACTTGCTTGCGGTCGGCACGATGTAGTTAAACAAGTTCTTGAAGCTTGTCAAGACTTTGGAATCTTTCAGGTTTAAGATTCGAACTTGCAATTAACTTTCACTTGAATAACGTTATCAAAATACATCGGTATGTATTGTTGTAACATGTTGAACCTGTTTTTTTAGAAGAACCAATATAATTAGGTTTCATTCAATGGGTAATTTTGGATCGTGTCGGTTATGGACCATACCATAATCGAACATGACTAGATTTTATCCTCATTTATGTGTTTTATCCTTATTTTTTTAATATTATAATTAGTTCATTACTATTTTAGTTTTTTGACATTGAAATGACATATATGAAATTAGGTGGTCAACCATTTAGTTGATGTCGATCTAGTCATTGATATAATGAGGGTTGTCAAGGAATTCTTTGATCTTCCTCTACCCCCACTCCCTCTGTTGCACTTCCTTCGTCTTTCCTCAGTACTAAGAAGACTGTTAGAGGATTCTCCAGCACTTCGTCTGCGCACATCCTCACCAAGGATTAAGTCGTGTATGCCATTGAATGTCAGCTTGGCACCTCCAATTGAGCTGATGACTGTTGTCATTGTTCCTGACCAACTTTCAGGCAATAATGAATGATAATAGTAGTAATGCTTGGACTTCATCTTCAAATTTAATCTCAACCGATGTCAACTTTGATAGGATTGAATTAAATTTATTGACATGATCAGTCACTGAGCCACCTTCCTTCATCTTCAGATTTACCAATTTTCGAATCAAGTGAACCTTATTCGTTGTTGAAGGTTTCTTGTACATGTCAGATAGCGATTTGATCAACCCATAAGTTGTCTTATCATTGACAGCGTTGTAAGCAACGTTCTTTTCCAATGATAGTCGCACGACACCAAGTGACTGTCGATCTAACAACTCTCCATCCTCTTGCTTCATAAGGAATGACTTATCTTCTGACAAGGGCACATGTAAATTCTTCTAGCAGAGGTAGTCTTTAATTTTCATTTTTCCACAAAACTGAAAATTTTCCATTGAAATTGTCGATCTTAACTGTCCCATGTTTAGCCACAACTCTGATATCGGTTTGTTGGGTGACAACAAAACATGTTAAGCACTTCTGACAAATATCAAACAAGCTTCGGTGAAACTCACGGAAATAAAACTTCTAAAAAAACTTAAATCAAAATGAAAAACAATATTTAACGTGGTTCGGTCAAGGTGACCTACGTCCACGGGCGAACAAGAGAGATAGAGAGAGAGAGAGAGGGATAGAAAGAAAGAAAGAGAGAGAGAAAGAGAGAGAGAGAGAGAGAGAGAGAGAGAGAAAGAAAATGAGAGCATTTTATTAACTTTCTGGAACTATTACAAGCACTCAAAATTATATCTCACTTTGATCTCTCACAAAAATCTAGCAATTTATAATGATGGAGATATGAACCTATTTATAGGCAAGCATGGGAAACCCTAATTCTGACGGTCCAGGCCCATCCATAATTAGCCCATTTAAGGGATGTCCTAATTTCTAACCAATCACGGAATGCCATGAAGATGATTCTAGAACCTTCAACCTCATGAGCATCAACCAAACACATGATGGAGCACCATGAGCAATAGTGGAGCATCATGATCACTAGTGGCCCAATATTCATCATGGTGGCACAACATGGTGTATTCCTTGAGCATCACCAACTTCTGAGCAATCGTGAACAATCTTGTGTTGGATTAGGTGTCTAAGCCCATAAACTATAATTGATATATACTTGAATTGATAGTAGCACAATGCTTTTGGGTTGTCTTCAAACCTAGCAATTGGACAATATGACTTTTAGAGAGAGAGAGAGAGAGAGATAGAGAGATTGAT